TATATACTGTATATATGTGATATATAACCCAGACTGCCTATTCAATATAGTGGATAATATGCTTTCGGTTCTTCTTCCAATAGAGATAAATAAACCAATAAAATCTCCTTCAACTACCTATACATACTCGTGGATTGCGCATGCATTGGTGTTAAGAATGAAACTTGAGTACTGTGCAACTATAAACTTTATGCACAACAAAACACAGATGCTAACATTTCATGATTGATAGGAACCTGTTACAAGTAATTTTATACTCTGACGGATTTTGTTTAGTGAAATACTTCTTTGAATTAATTCGTCTGTCAATACCAACATAGGAACTCTGCCTACAAGCAGACAGACAGCTAGATAGATGGGTCCATGCAGTCACCAACATCTCGTAACCACGTGTTATCTGTGGATAGCATCTCCCTGCAGTCACTCACCTCTCTGTCCTGGACTACCTCGCTGACGAATCCTACAGGAACCATCGTCAGCACGACACCGAGGATCATGACAGAGAAGAACGACATATAATCAAAAGTGAACGTCTCTCCCGTCAGGGAGCGCCACGGTTGCACAGACGCCGCGATGGCCGCCGCCGCGTCAGCGCCGAGTGAGCGGAGGCGTGCCGTTGCCACGGCGTTCATCAGTGTTGGCAGCGCGTGCAGCCCGCTGTCATTATAGATGGCGGTCCAGGTCATGTTCTGTAGAAAGGACGTGACGATTATGATATTACATACATATGTTAAGCACGTTTGGATTGCGACTTGATGCAATAATGCAATAATTTGCTCTAATGCCTATAATTTGCTTTAATTGTATTTAATTTTTTTAATTTCAATTTACTATATTATAAATTGAATTAATAATAATTTTAAGAAATTAGCAAAATTTGATTCGTTGAGACCATTATGGTTTTACTATTTATAGGCTGTGCCTTAATATTACGTTTATTTTGTGACTATAACACTATATTCATAGACCATGACATATTTGTTTCTGACACATTTAGTCATTTATCACTACTTGCCTTATGAATCGTTTACTTTGTTTAAACTGTCACACTTACTGCTCTGATTATAACGCATACTAGTAAGCTGTTCACTGTGGAATACAACTCAACAATGCAGAATCTTCCGCTCACCTCTCCCCCCGTGTCAAACTGGTGTACGTCCATCGCCTGGTAGTGCACTCCCACGTTCAGCAGGTCATCATAGTTGCCCATCTGCGCCACGTCTAGACCCTGTGAGGTCAGCCCCGACAAGAGAGCATCCACGCTGGACGGCGACGAGTTCGTGTACAGCACGTCCCAGGCGTTGTAGGTGGCGCTGCGGAACGTGTATTTCGTTGGCTCCTGTGTGGAGAGTGTGGAGGAGGCAGCCAAGGCAAGGCTGACGGCCACGAGCACAGCTGGTATGAAGATGCGTAATAACACCGCCTGCAAGTAAGCAAGGGTGGACCAATGATTCGCACTTTACACATAATACATTGTATATATAGCTGCGTTCACACGAGGATTTCAGTACCGTACTGAGCGTTCACATGTTAAAAATATTCAAGACTTATACGCGGCTTAGCAAGTACCGTACTGAAATACGAGGCTTATTCGGCGAGGAAAGTGATTCCGCGCTGAAACATTCGGCACCACGCTAGCCGCGTATTGTCTGTCGTGTGAACGCAATTCGAGGCCTCTTACTAGCTGTAGTGCGCTTACCTAGACTGGTACCCGTTCGCCCACCTTCACTCCGGTAAGTATCCTTCGCTACACTGACGTACGTGACACGACGTCGTTCGCTACACGACGTTAGTGTAGCGTGTGGAACTGTTAACCGGGTACCAGTCTATATTATACCTAGCTAGCTAAGCCTCGATTCTCGTGCCCCAACCCCAACCCCAACTCCAACCCCCAAAAAACCAAAATCCCCCTTCCACCCCCTCCTAGAAACGGCCCCCTATTCTCCCCCAAACCCCCAAAACGCCTCAAATTTGCCCCCAAGAAATGCAGCTCCCCCAAGGGGGTTACACTTCCCCTATTCCCCAAATTCGACAGTGTTTGCTATAAGCTATGCATCGTGCGCCGACCCACATCTCCCCCCCCACCCACATCTCGTCTCAATATGCCGTCCGATAGATGGCACCACAGTCTTCAAAATTTTATCGTGACTGTTCGCTGGGTGCCATGCATCCGTGCGCCGGCCTATGGATTTGGCGCACGGATGCACAGCTGCCAGCACCGATACTATCGTAGCACGTTCCCGCGGTCGCGTGCGCCTCGCGCGGAACTGCGCGCAACATCCGCGCTCGGCGGTCAGGATCAATGCTTCCTTTGCGCATCGCCTCTCTAGTATCCGGTCTCTCCTCTGGATTGTGTTAGCATGGTATTTCAGCCGAATTCAGCACCAGATAAGTACGGAACCAGCGAGGCCGTGTATCTCGTGTGAACGCAGCTTATATATACACATACATAGTATTGTGAAGTGCACAGCCTGTGGTAAGCGCGTGCACGCGTGCGTGCGCGTCTGTGTGTGTGGATCTATACATTTATTGCAGGTTGCCTAATGATCAGAATGATGATGTGGTCTGCTTTACTCTCTTCTCCTCTCATTACACTCACATGCCCATCCTTGCAAAGTCAAGCCAAGCTTTCCACATAGCGCAATGTAGCTATGTATATATATATTATATACATGATAAATTACATATACATGCATATCTATATAGTAATACTGTAACGGCCGCGTGTAATTTCACGTATCTCCTCCGAAACCGCCGTAAGGAATGTGCCCATTTACTCTTACCGGGGATTCCAACGTGGCGAAGACGATAAGCTATGTCACTAAGCTTTATTTGCATAACAACGTTACTAAAGCAACATTTCAACGACACTTGGGAAATTTTGCCCTAGCAACGGCCGTGCGACCCTTGACGACCGGTCTGATGCAACAATGATATTAAAAATTATTTAAAAATATTTATCCTGCTTGGGTGATCCCTTCGCGAAATATTTCGGGAGTCAATGCAATTTTAACATGGACCATTTATGGAAATTAAAACTTCAACAGAATGACACACACCTAAAACTCACAGACAAGCCACAATTTGGAAATGCTGTCCAGCATGGCGTATGATAGCAATAATAGGTCAAAGAGAGTATATAAACATAATAATTTGGTAGTAAATAGAATTTCGTATTTATTTAGCATTATATTTTATTGAACGCGCTTCAAGTGCCTGTGGATATGCACGTATCATGTGACTGTACATTGAGATGTAACTGTAATTTGTAGACTGTAAAAATGTGATATACGTAGGCTACGTGACTGTAGCTGAGATGCACGTACGTCACTATAGACTATTATGCACGTATCATGTGACTGTAGATTGAGATGCGCGTATGTGACTGTAGATTGAGATGTGCGTATGTGATGTAGGTTGAGATGTGCGTATGTGACTGTAGGTTGAGATGTGCGTTTGTGACTGTAGATTGAGATGTTGCGTATGTGACTGTAGATTGAGATGTGCGTATGTGACTGTAGATTGAGATGTGCGTATGTTACTGTAGATTGAGATGTGCGTATGTGACTGTAGGTTGAGATGTGCGTATGTGACTGTAGGTTGAGATGTGCGTATGTGACTGTAGATTGAGATGTGGTATTCTGACTGCTAGATTGAGATGCGCGTATAGTGACTGTAGATTGAGATGTGCGTATGTGACTGTAGGTTGAGATGTGCGTATATGACTGTAGGTTGAGATGTGCGTATGTGACTGTAGGTTGAGATGTGCGTATGAGACTGTAGGTTGAAATGTGTGTAATGTGACTGTAGATTTGAGATGTGCGTATGTGACTGTAGATTGAGATGTGCATATGCGACTGTACATTGAGATGTGCGTATGTTACTGTAGATTGAGATTTGCGTATGTGACTGTAGATTGAGATGTGCGTATGTGACTCAGACTGTAGACGAGATGTACGTACGTGACTAAACTGAGATGTACATGTACCGTGTACGTGTGACTGTAGACTGATATACATATTGAAGTGATTACAAGGAATGCACGTTTATTGGTTCTTATATTATTATATAATTAGCCTCCTGACTTTGCATTGAAGAAATAGTGTGTCCTGCGTCATCTTATAATATCGATGCACTTCTTTCATCATGCCATCAAATCATTCCGCCAATGTAAAAAGGGTAAAATTTAGATCTTTTAGAAAATTTTACCAGAACCGCAAAAAAACAGCCGCAAATATTTACCAGTTTACAATATGCCACAGTCGACTTTGGCCAAACATTCAACTCCGTGCAGAGCACGGGTATTTGCTAGTTTATATATATATACTGAGTCTATTATACTGTCGGTAGAGTGCTCGATGCATTAAGTTGCAGAGCGTAATTGTAGTCTGTAGATAAATTAAAGACAAGACATCACTTTTAGCTGTTACTCCGAATTTCACGCTTACGCGATCATCAGACAGACTTTAATGAAGAATAAACCTTATATAAATACTATAACCAATATATACATAAATGGCGCTATTGTTTTAGTTATCTATTGTTATGTAGTTCTATAGTTCTATAGTTAAATCGATCTATTGTTTTGCTGGTCTATTGTTGTTCGGCTTTTGACTTTTTTTGTTTGTTTCTAATCTTATTGCCGCCATTTATATCTGATCCGATCTATAAAAACAAACATTCAACAGCAGTTTCTAGACTTATACAGGGGTAGGATAATATATATATATATGTTATATATTATATGTATTATATATATATACATATATATATGTGAAAGCTGACTATTATGCCTTCATGGGAGCACTCGCAATGAATCGATAAACACAGGAATTAGGTAATAAACGGCTTTATTCGGAGACGCCGGCTAACTCACGTCTGCTCACATCAATGTCTGCCAAGCAAGAGGGCGAGAGAGGGCGCGCACTCGCGCATGCGGCAACACCGCGCCACTTCCGACACTAGTCGAAACTAAGCCGCGTCAATACGCCCTCTTTTGAGGAGATGTGCCCCACATCGACATATGCAATCCGCTAAAAACAAGGGGCAACTGCCAGCGGTAACGTTACAAACAGGAGGCAGCTACCCTGCCACTGTCCGGAATACAAAATATAGCACACAAAATTACACAATCCGCTAAAACAAGGGGCAACTGCCCAGCGCGTGAACGTTACAAAAGAAAGTCGCTTCGGTTGTGCGGTAAGCTGGCATTGCCAGCAACGCATGGGCAGTCTCATGCGGCATCACTACGCTGAGTGGGTCGTCGCGCTCGCTGTACAGCTCACGGGGCGGACATAATCGTCCAAGTAGGCGGGAGCATTGACGTCGCCGTCCACTTCCTCGTCACACGTGGTTCGGAGCGGGCTTCGATCAGCGCTTGCAGGCAAACCCATGTCAACACGCGGTTCCCACTCCTAATCAGCATCTCTTCCCCTGGTTGAGCAACAGCTCTCAGCTCGTCCTCTTCGTCTGGTTCCTCGGGGCGGAACAGCTGCTTGCCAGGAAACTCCATGTCAGCGCCACGTCACCTTCGGGAATTCCGTCGTCCACGGCCTCTGCCGCGGGACAGGAGGGGCTGCGGGTGCGGTTGGTTTATCGCATGCCGGACACAAAGTCCTCACCCATCATTGGGAAGAACATCCCGGCAGGGCAGGAACGCCCGGGTCACTCTCTACAGGGACTTCGCTCAAGCTCTTCCGGCTTCTTGATGCGCCAATGGCCTGGGTATTCTCGGTGCCACACACATCTTCAAGCCGATTGTGAATGGACAATAGCCTATGTCGGCTTAGCTGTATCCCACTCGGTAGCGACTACCTGTAATGTGACACCAGGCAGGCCATTCGCTGTCGGCATCCTGTTAACGATGGTATATGGCCCTGGACCATGAGTAGAGCCACATTTCGCAGCGGTGGCGACTTTTATGGATAACTAAAGCCAGATGGTAACGCACACTTCTGCTGCCCCACTTGGTTGGGGTGGTGTTATCGGGCTCCACTTGTCGTACAATTGGCTTTAGATCGGCTTTTCTGGCAGACAATAACTTGCCCGTTTTCGGGCTTCTCGGAAAGCCTCTTGCAGTTTCGGCGATGGTGCTCTTTTGAGTAACTCCCTGCGACCTTCAATAAGTCGCTTTGGTTGGCGCACATCCATAGACAATGTCCGCTCGGTGCAAGCGGGGTTCTCGATCCCATGCGTGCACAGCCTGAAAAATGGCGGACATGCTCAGTCGTCTTCGTGTCACACTGGAGTTGTACGCGCACTGGACTGGGCCAAGGTGGAGATCCCCCAATCCTTGCCGTGTTTGACGTGACCTTTGGCGAGTGGCGCCTCTTTCAGCGTCTCATGAAACCGCTACGGCAATCATGCGTTTCCTTTCGGGATGCATATAGGGGTCGTTCTAGGTCTTCTCGATTCCCAAGCATT